TTGGAAAAGGATTCCAATGTAGTGTCTATAAATAGGGTCTCAATGTAACTATTTAGATACACAATTCAATAATATTTTTCTTATATATTTCTCACAGACCTCTTCAAGAAGGTGGGGGACCTGTGTGTGTGGGTTTAGAATATGGTTGCACCCTGAGTTTTGATCAGTGGTGCTGGCGTTGGCACTGGCGCTTGGAGATGGGGGAAGTGATGGAGTTTCTTCATAGGGAGGGAAGGAGAGGAGGAAGAAGAGGGGGAGAGAATGGTTTGGAACAAGTGTCTGGAAAAGTTTACAATGCCTGTAACGTACGGGACTAGGGTTGCCTTGCATAAGGACCTCACAGTTTGGAATCCTATTATTGAAAGAGTTGAGAAGAGACGAGCAAGTTGGGAAAAGTGATACTTGTGAAGGGTGGCAAGGAAGTATTCATAAAAAATACTTTATTGGGCATCCCTACCTACTGATTGTCTTTGTTGCAAGCACCAATGATAGTTGCAGAAAACAAGAAAGGCTTCAAAGGAACTTTTTATGGGACTAAAAAAATCACTAGGTTAAATGGGAGTCTGGGAGGTTGCTACAACTCCAAAGGAGTGGGGTGGTCTAGGACTGAGAGATCTTAAGGTGTTTAATAGAGTTTTACTAGGGAAATGGCTATGAATATTTAGGGTGGAGGAGAACGCCTTATGAGGGAGGTAGTGGTAGAGAAATATGGCTCATCCAAAGGAGGGTGGAGGACTTGGGCTATTACTGTTCCGTTTGGCTGTGGCATGTGGAGGAGCATTCTGAATGGGTGGGAAGACTTCGATGGTCACATCACTTCCAAACTGGGAGATGGATGAGTTTCAAAGGCTTTTGGAGTTGCTCTACAAACTCATCAGGCACAATCTTAGTGATTCATGGAGGTGGGCCTTGAGTAGCGATGGTTTGTTCACTGTCAAATCTCTCTATCAGAGCTTGCTCGCGAGAGAGAAGATGTCTTTTCCAAACCTTTCAATCTGGATCCCTGGGACACCTAGAAAGTTGTGCTTTTTTGCTTGGTTGGCGGCGAGGGGAGCGATTCTGACAACCAATAACTTAAGGAAGAGAAATATCACTCATGTTAGCTGAAGTTCCATGTGCAAGTGTTCTGGTGAAGAAGTTGATCATCTCTTGGTGCATTGTAAAGTGGCATCGATTTTGTGGAGGATGGTTCTGAATTGTTATGGTGTACAATGGGTAATGTCGGGTACCGTTAGATATGTTCTACATATTTAGGCTGGAAGACATACTTGTAGAAGGCAAAAAGCATGGAAGGTTGCTCCATTAACTCTTATGTGGGTCATATGGAAAGAGAGAAATATGAGAGTTCTTGAGGGGATCAAAAATGAGTTTGCACACTTGAGAAATAACCTTTTTACTTTGGCTGCTTTTTGGTGCACCCTTGTAGTTCCTTCTGGCTTCTTGTATAGATGATTGAATGTCTTTTATAGAGAATCATATTTTGATGTAGATTCTCTACTTTTTTGGTATACCTCTTGTATACAGGAGTTTCCATTGTTAATAATATCACTTATCTTATCAAAAAGCTTATGTTGCATTTCTTTCATTTTGACATATCACCACATCACAATGTTTTGTAACACTTGCTAGAAGCCAGAACTAATGTTTTCACAAAGGCAGAAATTAATATATCAAAGAAATTTTTCCAATGCTTTAAAGGTTTTCCTTGAACATTTGATTTGATTGTGTTAAGGATTTATAAATATGATAAGAGTGTATACCATGTAAATATAAAAATATCTACAATTCCTATAGTAGTGTGATTAAGAAGAGATTTAATATGCACTTATATGTTTTTTTCTTGAGATAATTGTGAAGTCTATTTAAATCCCACCAAACTTGAGGGTATAGTCAAGTCATTCATTCTCAAAATCACTTCTTTTCATGACATCAAACCTTGATAAAGAAAAAGACCAATCTCTATTCTTGGTTACCCAATGTTGCACCATCTTCTTTCTAGTCTCTTTTGGTTTTGAGATCCTGATCTATTTCTGTTTTGCTCATGATATATATCCATTTTTATCACCCCGGATGATGAACGCCGCTCCTTATATGGAATGTCAAAACGATCTGTGAAGTTGGATCGGGTGCTCATCATCTAAAGTAGAAGGATTTGAACTTCCACAATTACTACCACAAGAAAGCTGCCCCCTAGGGATTTGAAGGCTGTCATCCCGTGGCCAAATCTAAGGGGCTAAGCATGACTTTCTTTTTCTTTTTTTTTCTGCAATATCCCCTCATTGCCTAGGAGCACTTGGTGGCATTTGTCAAAGCACGAAATCAATAATGGAATCATTGCAGAAGAAAGTTATAACTCTTGGAACCTGAACATGATTAAGCCTCATTATCCTTGGCTGCAAGGATTACGAAATAGCAATGTGCCTAAGAAGCTGAAGCAATCTCGATTGAAGCCAATTCAAAGAGAAGAAAAAAGAAAATAGGACAATTGCTGACTAAACCTCTAATTCACTACAAAACAAGGCTGGAACCAAGCCCTAAATTTGAGACTTTGGAAAACTGCTTTATTTTTTGTTGTCTAAGCTCCAGATGTTCAGTTTTGAGTGTGTGGGGGAGTTTTAAGAGTCTTCCATGTTGGTTGAGGGAATGAGTTGTTGTTTTCTTATATGGTCTTGGACAATGCTTAGTTGATGAGCTAGTTTTTGTGGTTGGTGTTAGTAAAAAAGTTCATTCTTCTTGATAAGTTGCATGTTAGTTTGTGGTTGATGCCAAGAGTAAGTTTCTTGTTTAGGATGTGATGCAAAAGTGAAAATACATAACACCGATATGTGTTAAAAGTTTATTGTATTTATTGCAGTCGCACAAGGATTTTGATGATGTTCGGGTGAATGCATTTGTCTGTGATCCAACAGTGGATGACCTGATCCAGCATATTTCTCCTTCATCAGTGGACGTTGTTACCATGGTACTAGACAAAAGTTTTCTTCTATAATTTGTGGGCTGTCCCATTTGCATCGACATACTTTCTGCATAACAAATCATGCTGTCTCATAATCATTTACTTAAAAGCATGCCTTGTTCTTGAATGTTTGTTTTTGTTCCAAATCTAGTTAGACCGCACAGCATATATTTACTTAAACAAATAAGCTGACTTGTTAAGCAGATATTTGTTCTATCTGCAGTATCCCCTGAGAAGATGCCTCTGATGTTACAAAACATCAGAAAAGTTCTGAAGGTCAGATACCGGTTCTTAATTTCGTTGGTTTGCACCTTTTGATTTCATTATTATGCCTCTTATACCTTTTTCCTTTCCAGAAAGATGGCTGTGTCTTATTTCGGGACTATGCAACTGGTGACCTTGCTCAGGTTTAAACTTCACCATATAATATCCTAATCTATTTCTTCACCATATTGTATGAACTTATTGATTTTGTACTTCCTCTACCGCAATCTATGTAACACCATTTGACTAGGCACAAAGTTTAAGAAAAAAGGAAGACTTTTGAGATTTGTGGTCTAAATAGCTAGAAATTATTTCATTAAGGGTAAAAGGATTTTTTAAAGTTATGTTGTTTCTAATTATAGAAACGTGACACTCTTTTTAGGACAGACTAAACAGGGAAGTGTGTCACATAAATTGGGACGGAGGGACTAATAACTTTGGATTTACTTAATTGCCTTCGTATTTTGCATAACATGTAATATTGGATGGCTACCTTTGAATTTAACTTGAGTAAGTTTGGGTTGTAATATCAGGTTTTTGTTTATTTTATCTTTGGACTTACTGAAAATGTAGCATATTTGGGAATGATGTATACTTACAGCTAAGGTTTGTATTACCAGGAAAGGCTTACCTCCAAGGAACAAAAAATCAGTGATAACTTCTATGTCCGGGGTGATGGGACTGTAAGTTCTACTGTTACAAATTGATATTTCTCATAGAATGGGTCTTATATTGTTGATGCGCATCTTATGGCAGCTTATTTCTGTCAACAGAGGGCTTTCTACTTTTCTGATGAGTTTTTAATAAATCTCTTCAATGAAAATGGTTTTGATGCTGAGGAGCACTTCTTGTGTTTCAAGCAAGTGGAAAATCGGTCAAGGGAGTTGGTAATGAATAGGTATATGATCAGTACTTTCTATTTGTTACTTACTCCATTCTATTGTATGTGATGTGGTATTTGATTGTATACATAATTTGATGTTAGTTTGACTTGCATATTACACCAGTGATATTGAAAGAAAAAATTAAAGTTGTTGTGAAGTTTGTTTGTTTAAATGAGAAATATCACTTCAAAGTTCAAAATTTGAATTGATTAACTAGTTTGAATTTTTGAAAGTTGTGACAGCTGTATAAAATTGAGATGTCCAACATATTTTAACATCAAAATGGAACTGTCATATAAATTGGATATATTGATAAGAGTAAATATCGCATCCATGTCTAAATTTTAATAAATAAATGAATTTTGAACAATTATAACACTAGCAATGTTATATGAGAGTGAATGTTGGGACACAAAAGTAAAACACATTAGTGAGATGAGTGTTGTAAAAATGTGGATGCTAAGATGGATGTGGGGTCATATGAGATTAGACAAGATTAAAAATGATACATTCTTTAGAAGGTGCAAGTGGCACAGATTGAGGATAAACTTAGAGAAGATTGCTTGAGATGATCTGATCATTGTCTTGGTCGACCTCCAAGTGCACTAGTCTATAGATGTGAAATCATGGTTAGTAAAGGTGTCAAAGAGGACACGAGATGTAAAATCACATGGAAAAAAGTTGTTTCGAAAGACATAATCTCTTGGAAGCTATGCAGACTTAGCAAAAGACAAGATACTGTTGAATTTACTTTAGTTACTGCAGTAATTTTTAATACAATAAATTGTCTAAATTTAGAATAAATTTGAAATTTAAATTTTTACTAGGTTGTTTTAGTTGTTCAGAAATTCTAGCTTTTTTTTGAATCTTGAATTACAGATTTTCTGCATATTTATGTGCTCAAACTGAAAACCATTGAAAGTAATTTCAATCCAAAGAGAGACATTTTCAACTCTCTTTTTGCTGCCCCATCTTTTTAAAAACACCAACAGTGGTATCAAGAGCTTAATTGATCTTACGGGATCTGTGAGTTTTTCCAAAGAACTATCATATCATTTTTAACCCGTTAGGCTACTTTTAACCTGCAAGGGTTATTTTTCTATCCATTTTAACCCATCAGGGCTATTTTCAACCCGTGCTTATTTCAACCAATTTTAAACCTGAAAAATGGCCAGCAGCATACTCTCTTTCAATGCCCCACAAATTTCCACAGGCGATACCAATCAAATTTGGTTTGTGAGAATAAAACCATATTTTAAAACCTATGCGATATGTGATGGAAGAAAAATTCTTACAACAATATTTTGCAAATCCTACAAAAGTTCAGATTAAAGCACTTTCAAAAGAGCTTTTAGACACGACAAGTTATTCAAGGTATTTTTTCAGCATAAAGCCAAAAGAAGGAAAAAAGAAGAAGAAATTTTTAAAGTTCAAAAACAATAAACAGAATTCAGCACCAACTGTCAAAGTAGAAATTGAGGAGGAACGTTTTTTCATCTGCAGTAACTAAAGCAAAGGAGGAGTGTTGAATTTTACTTTAGTTACTGTAGTACTTTATGATATAATAAATTATTTAGGTTTAGGATAAATTTGAGATTTATATTTTACTAGATTGTTTTAGCTGTTGAGAAATTCTAGCTTTTTTGAATTTTGAATTGCAGATTTTCTGCATATTATGTGCTCAAATTGGCTATTTAATGCCCTCCTACACTTAATGAAATCATTTAGACATATTTGCTGCCCCATTTTTAAAAACACCAATAGACACATGGAGAAAAAAGATTCATATAGGAGATATTAATTAGTTGAGAATATCTTTTAGCCATGTTAGTACATTTTACTTTAGGTCGTATGATTTTTAGGAGTCTTTTCACACTATTAGATATTTTTATTATGTTAGAAAATATGGAGAACTTCTAGTACTTTTCATTTTTATCTTGTATAGTTTTGGCCTGAAATGAATTTAAATGGAGAAATATGGTCAGTGAGGATTCATAGAGCTGACCTCTAACTTATTTGGATTGAAGCATGCTAGTATAGTTGTTTGTTATTAATGAATTTGAAAATTTGAATATTATGAAAATAAGGTGTCAAATATTTTGCAACACCCCAAAATAAAAAGGTCAATTGAACTGAGGAAGTGTGATCTGTATTCTCTGGTAGATTTAAATATGCTTTTCATTATACCTGTGGTATTTTCTGTTTATGAGCTCTAGGTAGATTGGCCATGCATTATTGGACATTTGAATTTTTTACATCTTATATCTTAACTTTCATGTAACGATGGTTCCACATTTGGTTTGACTTTCAGTGAACCTCAGTTTCCCCTTTTGAATTTACATCTGTCTCAGCATAAATACTGGAAGTAACACTTACAGCAAGCTTAATGTCTTACTCCCTCCGTTCCAATTTATGTGGCATTTTTCTGATTTCGAGATTCAAACAAGTCTATCC